TAAAGCACCTTGAGGCAACTGTTGTTGTGATTTGGCGCTATATAAATAAATAAAAAAAATTGAATTGAATAGAACTGAATTGAATATCTTCATGGTGTGGCACAGGAGTCGGATTGGCGGTAATTGGAGCAGTCGGCCACGTTGCCTTTACCTGTCCAGATAGGCACTGTGCTGCTGGTTGACCAGACTGCTGGAACAGCCCCATCTCTGATGAAGTTGTTGAACAGGTTGGTTAGGATTGAGGCATCCTGGCGGCCGAGTAGCTTCCAAACTTTGGCTGGAATGTTGTCTATTCCAGTTGCTTTGCCATTCTTCATTTTCTTGGCGGTGACTTCTACTTCCTTCATGGTAATTGACGGGATGGGTTCTGGGACGGGTTCGGTGCTGTGGATTGGCTGGTGGGGCAACTCCAAGTTGCAGATATCCGAAAAGCAGTTGCTCCAATGTTTGAAGATGATGGGTGGGTCGCAAAGGATCTGATGGTTGACATTGTTGATATGTTTGACCTGACCGATGTCCTGCATTGCTCGATGGCATTTATTTGGCGAGACGGTAGACTTTGTTCGCTCCCCCGGGCATGTCCAGTTCTTCATAGAGTTGGTCATAGTGCGATGCCGTTGCCGCTGCTAATGCTTTTTTGGTAGTACCACCTAAGCTTCTGGATCATAAAAAAATACAGTTGACACCATTGAAGATGGTGGGTGGGTCGCCATCTTCAATGGTGCCATGGCCCAGAAGCTTAGGTGGTACTTCCATGGACATGTCTTGTTCTCCATAAGAAAACCTGGCCTTGTTAGGAGAGTTGGCATCCATCCCACTTTGGAAAGAGCAGCTCTTGTTTCTAGAAATCTGGCCAATTTTAATAAACCTTAATCATTTTAATGGATGGAGACAGAATTTCAGCCAAAAATCTAAAAGAAACATGAAATAAAAGTCATATGAGCAAAACACAATTTGGCACAGTGGTAAGATATTTGTTGTAGTAGTCACCAGGTTTGCAGAAACTCTCTAATTGCTTTGGGTTTTCTTGCTGCTGCTTGGTAACTCGAAGATTCAGCTCCCACCACCAACTCTGTTGTTGCCTTTGTGGTACGTTTTGGATCATCGTCATGCTTGAAAACACATCCACAAACCATCTTCGGTGTTCTGGCTTTGGGAGGTACGTGGCCCTGTCCACTGGTCCCTTAGTGTGTTAAACTCTGTGTTTATAGAACTTCTTGTAATTAATCATTAGTATTACTTTCTGGATCTTCTCCAGTATCATGTCATATATCATTATAGAGTGTTTAACTTCCAGTGTACAGTGATTTGAAGTTGTCTGTTGTTATTTGGCTTTGAATTGAAATAAGTCATCCTGTACCCCTAATTGGAAAAGCATAATGTTTCCATCCCCATGCTTGACTGTAGGGATGGTGTCTTTGGGTCAGACTCACCATTTCTCTTCCTCCAAATACAGCAGATCAAGTTGATGCCAAAGAGCTCGATTTTGGTTTCATAGCACTTTCTCCTAAACTTTCTCTGAATTTAGATGTTTACAGGCAAACTTAGGATGGGCTGTGTGTGTTCCTTATTGAGCAGGGGAACCTTGTGCACTGTAAGATTTCAGTCCATTATGGTGTGGTGTGTTACTGCAACACCATAGTTCTTGGTGACTGTGAGTTTAATTGCCCTCAAATCCTCAATGAGCCCCTTCTGTGTAATAGCTGATCCACCTCTCTCGTTTTCATCCGCAAACTCTTACATGAAGTTCCAGACCGAGGGTGATTGTTGTCATTGATATTTTATATTTTCTTTCACTTCCAAATAATCACATCAACAGTTGTCACCTTTTTGACAAAGTCCTTGTCGATGGTCTTGCAGCCAATTCCACGTACAGGTTTACAGAGTTATCCCTGACATCTGTTTGCTGTTGCCTGTGGTGGCAGAGGTTGGGATGGAAGACATTCTTTCTGTGGAAAGGTGTGCTTTATACACCTAGTTCAGGATTTATTTATTATCATGTGGCACACAGCCAATCTGTGGTAACCATAACTCTGTTGCATGGATTAAATATTTATGCAAATCATAACTTTAATAGCTGGTTATAAATTATAACATTTATTCATCTAGATTTTATATTCTGTCTCTCTCTCCATAAAAATGAATCTACCAGGAAAAATAGACACTATTCATTTTTTTGTAAGTGAGCAAACTTACAAATTTAGCAGGACATCTAATAATTATTACACTCACTGTATACACTTGATTATGCAAAATTAAAGAAAAAGCCAGCATAGAGTGCTGTCAGAACATCTTCAGTGTATTTTACACTCTCTGGAATTCAGCTGGAGGGATGGACACCATTCTTACATTCTTACCCTTATTTGTTTTTTTAATGATGATAGTGGACAACACTGTCAACATATAGTGTATGATGATGATTCAGCTAAGCTGAGATGTGGTGACTGTGGAGGTCACAGCAAATGACTCAGATGAACGCACGTATCTTATCAGGCAGAACCGCTGATGTTTTTGAGAAGCTGGACATCCTTGAGGAGGTCCCCAACACTCCGGGACTATAAATAAACACAGCGAGACTTTTTCTATCAGCTTTTTCCCCACGTCTGTTTGATGTTAAGCTGACAGATGCACACTGTTCACCTGTTGCTTTCAATTTTTATTGTGGAAGCATTTCTAAAAACAAATTCCAAAAAAATCTTTATTTTTAAACTACATTTTGTCATTAATATGCCTTTTTGTCCCATCTGTTTAATTATTCAAAGTAATGTTTTCACTAAAAACCACTCTCATTTTCTATTACTCAGCTGTTGCAAGCGCAGTGTTCAATTTGCTGTGGTCTGGTAGGGAAGCAGAATTGGAGCTGGTGACACCAACAGAATTAATAAGCTGCGAAGGAAGGTTCCGTCTGTGACTGGCTGTGAACTGGATACTTCTGAAGCAGTCAATTTGTTTTATTCTGTTTCACCATTAGTCAAAAAACAAATGGTCTTTTTTTCTCAAACACAGAGACTGAAGTTGTGACTACACTGAACTGTTCATCTGAAACTATTTATTCGACCCTTCTTCTCAAAGACAAAATCCATCTTTAAGGTAATTTCCTCGAATTTACGGAGAAAAAATGGGAAATGTGCCACGGTCTCCTGGGGATTCAAAGTGTCAATAATGCGTCCTGATTCCTTCCGCTGAGAATTATGCAAAGGGATTTATAATTCATAAATAAAGATGACATGATTATTGCTGCCGCCTTAACGCAACAGGCTTTGCCCTCAACTTGCTGCGTCAACAGCTCCCGACCCCCCTCTCACTTTTTTTTTTTTTTTGGGGGGGGGCGGAACGAACAAAACCTGCTGCAAGCGACTTCTCGCTCCGAGATGCCATCCAGCTACGCCAAAACGAATATTTCAGCTGCGCAAAGTCAAGTGACAGCGGCACCGCGCTGAACGCTGCAGGCTGAAGAGGGCGCAGGGTGGCGTTGCGTTTGCTGTCCTCTCTCCTCCCTCTCTCTTTATGTTATCGTGGGACTGAGTGACTCGTTTAGGTCCGCTTTCTTTTCAAGTGAGCTTTTACTACCTTCCATAATTACGTCCCAAAGCAAAACGGACTTTATAGCGCTTGCTTCTCGGACTCTCCAGAGGAAGAGACTCATCGCCGCTGTGGTTGGAATCGTCATGGTTTTGACTCTCCTTATCGTGATTCCTCTGTTAGTCCAAACCTCTAAGACCGATGCGCACTACGAGATGATGGGCACCTGTCGGATGATCTGTGACCCGTACAACCCCAAACCTAGCACCGCGGCTTTGGAGGTCATGCAGGACCTGAGCGCCATTCCATCCCCCAGCTTTGTTCAAGGAGCTAAGGGCGAGCCAGGTCGGTCGGGGAAACCGGGGCCGAGGGGACCACCTGGCGAACCGGGACCACCGGGTCCGAAGGGACCACCAGGGGATAGAGGATATTTTGGAAAGCTCGGGTATTCCGGAGTAGAGGGCACAGCGCGGACTGAGACTGCCGGAGAATTGGGCACGGCTATCGGCGGGGCAAAGATAGCGTTTTATGTGGGACTGAAAAATCCTCACGAGGGATACGAAGTGCTGCGCTTCGACGACGTTGTCACGAACCTGGGGAACCACTATGACCCGACGACGGGCAAGTTTACATGCCAGGTGTCCGGGATTTATTACTTCACCTATCATGTGCTGATGCGCGGAGGGGACGGGACAAGCATGTGGGCAGACTTGTGTAAAAACGGGCAGGTAAATACCCAATTGTTTTTTAAAAACCCGTGCTTTGTAAGCACAAATGTAAACTCTTAGTGATTGTTTATTGCATGAATGGACTTCACAACGGAGCTGTGGTGCGCAATTACGCACTCTCATTTCAAGTCAAGAGTCTAGTGAGGAACTATGTTCAGTATTCTGAATGGGTTGTTCTCGCTTTAGCTTAACCTGTCATGATTTGAGTAATGCTAATTATCTCCAATTATCTTTCATGCAGGTCCGGGCCAGTGCTATAGCGCAGGATGCAGACCAGAACTACGACTATGCCAGTAACAGCGTCGTCCTACATCTTGATTCCGGGGACGAGATTTATGTAAAGCTGGACGGCGGAAAAGCGCACGGTGGAAACAACAACAAATACAGCACGTTTTCAGGTTTCCTTCTGTACCCGGACTAATTTGGGAACGTCCCACTCCAACAGGCCGTGCGAGAGAAAAAAGCTTCTAAACACAGCTCATCAAACTGATGAAGAAAGCTGCCACCCAACAACAAAACCCTTGTCATTGTACTCAATTTTAAAAATCTAACTTTCTTCAAAGGATATGGATTCTTCTTCTTATTTAAATTCTAGGAGTTCCCTTTTAAAACACGGGTGCTAATTATTTTTCCGTATCCTTTCCAGTGCATAGGAACCCCTTTGAAACACATTTCTGCTGGAGAAAGAAGTGAAATGAGTATAATACAAGATTCAGCAGCAAATTTTATATATATATATGTTAGGAACAAAGACTCTGTGTGTGTGTTTATAAGTGTGTGTTTACAGTGCAGATATTTAAACAATCAAACTGTGTGGATTTTGTGCATCACTGTGTCTATGGCTCCACTGTTGATGAGCCCCCCATCCCCTATACAGAAGACATTAATGCGTGAAGCAGTGCTAATTTATGGATATATAGTCTATTCAGATGTATGTTTTTATGTATTTATCTATTCAAGAAGAAATTACTAATATAAGCTGTAATTAACTGTCCATCTGTTGTTGCACGAATGTGTCAAGATTGCTTCACATTCCAGTATAAGTGTTGGTCAGTAATTTCAATAAATGGTAAATGGCCTGTATTTATATAGCGCTTTACTATCTTTAATAAAAGATTGTTTTCTATGATGGTATGGAGGGTTGTGACTGTCAGTAATAACAGCATGTTGTAGACATAGTGGAACCCCTGTGAGCAGGTGAAAAGTAATAAATACATAAGAAAAGTAGGTATATACAAATATATCAGAAATATATTGGAAACAAGACGTTAATGGTGCGTATGATGAATTCCTTAGAACAGGGGCAGGCAACCTTTCTGATGATGAGTGCCATCTAAAATTTCCTCAGAAGTCAATGTGCTCAATGTGTATGAACAGTTACACACTATATAGAACAACTTTATAGAATTATATTTGTTCGCAGATGTTGGCAGCTGTCAGCAAATAGTTTTCAGCTATTTTGAAACAAAAACAGACTTTTTATCCATAACAGCAAATGAACTGCACAACAGAAAATACAAATGCTATTTATGGTCTCCTCACAACAATGATAAGAAAAATAAACTGGGCCAATATGGTATGTTTGTTAATACAGAGACACACATGTTAATCTGATCTCTGGGCTCCCACTCAGAGACACAGGTCTCCGAGTGTCCAGCATCCAGAGGGTTACCTGAGGACTCATGTGAGAGAAAATCTGCTCACACAGACATGTAAAGCCAAACACTGTCAATAAGGCCTCTGCAATGTTCTGAAGACAGTTAAACTTGTCAGGTAGTGATGTCCAGCAGGTGAAAATGCAGCTCCATGAACACGCACAGCTGTGGATTCCAGCTGCGTCTGTAGTTCTGCAAACTTTGACCCCACAGAGTCGAGGTTTTCAGTTCAATCAGCTGCATTTTGATGTCCTCTGTGTCGAGCCAGTTAATACGAGACAAACCAGCTGTTCATTAAAGCTTCTGGTTTGATCAGAAAAGAAAAAAATTGGTCCAAACACCTGAAAGTCACGAAAACACATTGTGAATTCTGTCTCCAGTCTCCGTGTATTTCCGTGGTGCTGATGCTGCACTGAGCAGACAGCTCCTGAAGCATTTGAAGTGTCGGAATGTGGAAATTTCAACATCGCTTGAAAAAACTGCCAGCTAGCAATGTCCCTCTCATCAGTAGGCAAAGTTATTTTTAGCCAATTACAAGTTGAATCTGGTAGTTGGGGTTGTTAGCTAAGATACCGCCATTAAGAAGCGGCACAACTAATGTGTCTATGCCAGCTGATTTGCGATGTGCACCGCTGCCCCGCCCATTCATTTTTTTTAATGCACCTGCTCAGATTAACTCACTGCGTGTGGTGCCCAGGGCTGGACTGGGACACAAAATCGGCATTTTGACAGGAGACCGGCCTACCAGGTATTATAGGAAAAGCTATAAAGCCTTTGAATGAAAACAAACGCTGTTGTGACAGTGATGTACGCTGTCTTGTTGGTATATATCTAGGATTTCTATACATTTTACGTCCGATAAAAACTTTTAAAGTCTTGCAAGTTTAAAAGTTGTAAGATTCAGAAACTTATTTATTGAAAACTAGACATTTTAAATGAGAAAAGTATTTCTTTGTGCCCCTTTGCCTGGCAAAACTTTGGTAGACCCGCCCCTGCACAGTTACTGTCACGGCCAGCGGGGGCAGACCGTGTGGAGAGTGTGTGTGGTGGACCCAGGCGCGAACACAGGCGAGGAGACGGGAGTGAACCTAAACTGAAAGCGAGCCTTTATTTGGGCTGATGCAGAAGGGAGTAGACAAAACATAACAGGGACAGAGACTGCAACTAACCAAAAACCTAAACTGGAAAACACTAACCTGACTGAAAGGAGTAACTATGATCACTGTGAACAGAATGCTGTGCAGATGCATGGAAACTGTAAACCAAGTGGCGTGATGAAACAGACATGAACATGACCTGCACGGAACCTCATCGTGCAGCTGCATGAAAAACAACATAAACCAAATGGCAAACATGAACTGCACAGAATCCTGAAAAACACTTAACTTGACCAGAGGGGAGGTACACAGACGACACGACAACAAACAAAGGAAGACTGAGGACTTAAATACACACATAAGGTGGGGGAAGTGGAGACACATGAGAACACAGCTGACTCCAATGAAACATAATGACAATACAGGGGAGAGTAACACCAACTACAATGAACAAAGAACACCAGACTCTTACAAAATAAAACAGGAAACACGGAGACATGGAGATAAAACATGACATGAACTTAACCGCATAGACATGAAACGTGGATGCAGGAACCAGGGAGACTGATTACAGGCGGAGATGACAGAAAGAAATAAGGTCTGAACAGCAACCTAGGATTTAACTAGATTGAAAATGAATACAAAAAATACATAAAACTCAAACACTGGGTCACACCGTGACAGTTACCTGCAAAAGTTACATGTTTTAATTAAATCTAAGCAAAATGAAACATTTTTGAGATGTGCAGTTATTTAAATTTTGTTTGGGGTAAATTAAGCAATAGTTTGTTGAGCAGATTTAACAAAATTGTATGAGTGCCATGAAACATGAAGAAATCTAATAGATTTAACTGATGAAAACATTTTCATTTCAATCATTCTACACTTCCGCCCATAGTCCTTGTGCCACGTGCAGGACGCACAGGCTTCAGCAGTGGATGACCACCATTTTGTCCGAGGTAAGATTATCTTAATTTGTTCAAAAATACGACACGTTTTAAACAATAACGTATAGCAGTTAAAGTTCTAAACAGTATGATACGTCAAAAATAGATTAATGTAGATGTAGAACAAGCACTCTGCAATAATCTAGAG